CCTCTTCAGGTTGTAAATCGCGTTTTAAAAAAGTAACTAAGTAACTAAGTAACTAAGTAATTAATTACTTTTGAAAATAAGTAATCAGTAAAGTAACTGGATTACTTTTTGGGGGAAGTAATCAGTAATTAGTTACTGATTACTTTTTTCTAGTAACTTGACCAACACTGGTGAGCATTTATTAAGACAAAGTCATCTGGAACATGAATAATTATTTCCCCAGGAAATGTTCATTATCCGTTATCAAAATGCAGATAGTTTACAGAGAAGCAAAACTGGGTACTTGTTTAGAGCTTCAACTTATGTAAATATGAATGTTATTGTGATTGTCATTGTGATCTTTTGAACTATGCTGGATTAGTTAAGGAGGTTGGTGGGGCCGACATCAGTGCTAAGTTTCTAAGGTGCAGTGGTTCAGCCCTCGTGACAGTTTCATTCAGTTTCTGTAATTCTGCTTCACATTTGTCTCTAGCACATTTTCACTCTAATGCATTATACTGGTCTACACGCTGTACCGTTCCATTGTGATGAGAGAGCTGATGTGAAAGCTAAGCTCTCAATTTACAGACCAGTCTGCATCCTTACCCTCACCTGTGGTCACGAGCTTTCTGTAGTGATCGAAAGAACACGATGGCGACACAAGCAGTGGAGAAAGGGGTGACTTGGTTGGGAATTATTTGTTTTAATGTCTATATTTAGAGTTTCAATGAGTATTTTTTTCACTTTCAATACAAAATTTTCTGTTTATTTATTTCACTTACAATATTCTTTTTCAATGCCAGTATTTTTTTTTTGTTTCATTTTAAACTGGCTTCTTTTTAACCCCATAAGAAATCAGATGAATCAGATGATAGAGCACAGAGAGCGGAGCTGCGGCACTACATGAAGAAGCAGTGATGTGCCACCGATTTCCTGTCCGATCCGATACAAGTAAAAATCAGGGTGGTATCGACGATACTGATCCGATACCGATACTTTGTACAAAAACTTATTTTATTTATTGTGTCTCAAATTATAGCTTCATAATGCTTATAGGACATCAGATTACTTGTTCTTATCACTTAATAATAAACAATTAACATATAGAAATAAGAACCTGAAGTTGTGCTATTTGAACACGTTGCCTGCCTGCAGCACTAAAGGACTCCCTGAGAGACGTCTGTCTCGCCCTAGCAGCACCTGTCCTCCTCTTCAGTTCACCTCAACATACGCTCGTCATATTCTGTGATATGATTTACTCTGAGGTGCTTGATGAGGTTAGTGGTGTTGCCACAACACCTCACTGTCTTGCCACATGTATCGCAAACCACGTCTTTGCTGTTTGTGGAGGTAAAATACGTCCACATATGACTTCGTTTACGCTCAGCTATTGTTGTGAGTGCGCACACCAGGGGCTGCCACACATTTATACAGCCGTGTTTCACACATGACTATGAAAGACGTGAGAGGAAGTAGTTCCTTCCAATGTAGACAATCAGAATGATATAGTTTCTTTCCACTGTGTTCCTGTTAATGATAAACTACACATTTACCCTAAACTACTAAAATATCGATATTTTAATATGAGAATCGCTTCTAGAACATAAATGACTGGTATGGGAGGAATCGATATTTCAGTATCGATCACATCACATCACTATGAAGAAGTCGGGAGTGACATGTGAGGGTGATGCAGGGCATGTATGATGGTGGTGAGACGTGCTGCTGATGAACCACCATAAACAGGTCCCGTGTAGTACTGCAGTAGAGGAAGGCTTCCAGCTTCAGCTTCTTTCTGAACCACGCCCGACAGGGTCTAATATCATATTTCGATAAACACCCCCTGCGTGAACAAGCGACAACCGGCCCATCCGGCTGTTTGATAAAGCGCACCCACAAGCGATTGGCTACGGGTTTTGTGACGTTACCGGATGTGGAGAGAATACAGTGGTCCACCCTAACGCGAGGTGAGTGTTTGTGTCGGCGTGTGGTGTTATAGTTGTCTCCAAGGATGCACCTTAGCTGTTTAAATATCATTGTGAGCAACCTTGACACGCAGCGAATGCGCGGTGTTTGCGGCTGCATGTGTTTCAGCATTACTCTTGCTGGGACCCAGTATGCACAGAACACGTCTGCCTGCCTTGTGCACTTCACACCGGTGCTTATCTGCTCTCAACAACGGTCAACAGTCTGCGCAGCCACGACGGTGCTGCTGTTAGATCTTTTCCTTTCCACTTTCTTTGCATTCTGACGGATTATTGGAGGACCTGTTGCAGCGCTGCGTGTTTCACTCATGCACTGAGTTAGTGCAATGCTAACGCTATTTGTAGGCAGTGATAGACCAGATGCTGGTGCAACCCATTCAGTCCACACATGTAGCGAAATCAAACCGCAGATGATTCTGTGCAATAACGAGAAACGACGCAGGGAAAAAGTATTGAACATACGAAGAAAGGGAGGCGCGAAAAGTCACCGCACCGTCTCAAACCTGTCAGGAATTACAAAGCAATCAGTCCCAACCGGTGGCCTATGAACAAGGTTTAATACAGGACACATCCTGTAATAGGTAAAACCAATGAGCTCTCTCAACATGTACTAGTCTGCTCAAACATGTAACGTCCAACACATGTTTGCAGGCCAAAGGCGTGAGCGTCTCTCCACAAACACCAGACCAACAGTGAAGCTGTTACCGGTCATATTAACATCCCACAGCTCTCTTCTGCATTCAGAATTTATTTATTTATTTTTAGAAAGAGGGGCAATACATATTAATGAGCATGTTAACAAATGTAAATATGCCAGATTAGAGCCTTGGGCTAATTTCCATCTACAGACCCTCTGGGGAATAACATCAATGTTGATAAGATTGAAACTGTTTAGATCTCCCTGCTCTGCTGACACACTGACAAGAACCAAAAATGTCACTTTTAAACGAACCACTCAGTCACTCCAGTTTTCTTTCATTCGGCACACCTCAGCCCTCTCCTGGTTTCCCTTCCTCAAGAAGCAAAATGATATTTAAGAAAGAAAAGTGTTACTTTTCAAAACCCCGTGTACTTAACTATACTTGTTTACTTGTTTCTTATGTAGATAGTTTGTCTTGTGAAAAACTCGTGATGAGTTGAACCTTCTAAGGCATAGGTGTCAAACTCTGGCCCGCAGCCTAATTACATTTGGCCCGTGAAGCCACACCAAGTTACTATCAGAGCTGGCCGACTGGTATCAGACAGCTAATATATATTGTTTAGTACTAAGCTTTGCTTGTTCCATATTCAGTTTTTCAGCACAACGTGTTTGAGTCCAGAAGAAAAGATTCATTCTCATATCTGGAGGAATAAATATATTTAATAAATATTAACGTTAGCCCGCGACTTTGTTCCAGTGTTGAATTTTGGCCCACTGTGTGTTTGAGTTTGACACCCCTGCTCTAAGGCCTCTGCATGTCAGCTAAACAGACTCAGCTGCAGTTAAACTTCCCTATTATAGAGGTGCAGCCATTGATTTCTTGCTCAGTCTGAGGAGCCACTTGCGCTGATATAAAACTGCCAGGCTGAGCCTAACATTTTGGCTCATTAGCTTCAGTTATATTTGTCATGTGCACGTTAGCACAGGGTCAAAATGTATTTGACGAGCAGAAGACAGTCACTCAGCAGGACAGTAAGGGTTAAGGGTCAGTAAGAGGAAGGGTTTTCATTTTTATTTAAATACTAACAAAAAAATAAGAATGGGGTGACCAGTGCAGAGTGTATTGTGTACCTGAGAAACTGCAGGACAGCTGTGTGCATCCTGTGAAGTGTTGTGGTTGAGGTGTCGACTTGGTGGTAAAATCTGTTTTTGAGTCTTGTAGTCCGAGCAGACAGAACCTGTAACGTCTGCCAGATGGTAACAAGGAGAACAGCTGATGTGCTGGGTGGCTGTGGTCCTTGGTGATGCTGTGTGCTTTACGGAGGCAACGCTGGAGATAAATGTCCCGAATGGCAGGAAGCCTCATGCCAGTGATGTGCTCTGCTGCTTTCACCCTCCGGAGTGATTTCCGGCTGCTGGCACAGCAGCTTTGTACCAGACTGTGATGCAGCTCGTCAGCAAGCTCTCGATCGCACACCTGTAGAGGTTTGAGGGGATGTTGGCGTTCATGCCAAACGTCCTCAGCCTCCTCAGGAAGTAGAGTCATCGTTGTCTGTGATGAGGCCTTTGATGGTTGTGTCATCCGCAAACTTAATGATGGTGTTGGACTCATGTTTAGCCACACAGTTGTGTATGAACAGGGAATATAGGAGGGGCTAAGCACACATCGCTGTGCTCATATGGATTACCTGTGCTAGGTTTGGACATGTTCAATCTTAGCAGCCACCATAAACACAGGATACATATGACTGAAAATAAGGGAAACCAGACTTGGATGCATTCACAGAATGTGCATGTATGTGTCTTTGCCTGTGTTGGCAACCTTTACCATCATTAGCTGAGCTGTCTCATGGATGTAGGCGGTGATATTAATAGTACTTGTTCAACTGTATGTGTGTAGGAGAGGGGGTCAGGGGGTCACCATATGTTTTGCTATTAAAAATGACAAAATGTGTTTTTTCTCTTTCAGAAAATTGGAAATGTGTAAGACTGAAGCCTCTCAGAAGCTTTTAGGTTGTGTCCTGTAGTTACCACAGAATTCATGGCAAACCATGAATACTTCCTTATTAAAACACAGACGCTCTCTGTATACTGACCAGATCCTCGTCATTATTTTCAGGAAAGAAAGCAAGCATGAGGATTTCCAACAGTCACCTGCAGCAGCTCACCATCTTCACCACCGTGCTGACGGGTGCAGGGATCGGCACAATGTACTACCTGCTACAGAGTGAGTACAAAAGCTCTGTAGTGCTTCATTTACAGTTAGTGAAACTTTTCATTTCAGCAGCTTCGATCATGTACTGTCGCGCTCAGAAATGTGTCATTTGAGAGTGTAGAAAAATTCAACTTGACGTTAACTTCAGCTGCACTCCTGAGAGTGAATTCTTCTTCAGGTTTTCAGCTCCAGCTGACCTGGGCTGACTTCAGGATTTAGCACCACTCTGTGGTTTGTTGCACATGTTCAAAAACATGGTGATCTAATTACTGTTTGAATGTCATCACCTGTTTTGGTGGTTTAACATAATTTAAGTTGGGTTTAACCTCCTAAGACCTGAACTCTTCCACAGCAGCATTTTTAATTTCTCTTTGATATTTGGGCTGATTGGGACCTGATGAATGTAAAAACAAACTATTACCAGATTATTTTTTTATCTTTTTGTTTTTAAGAAAAATGAGAGCCACATATGAGGATGTTTGTTTAAAATTTTGAAAGAACAGTGGCAGCATAATGTCCTCGTAAGTGGATATCAGGCCCTTATAGAGCAAAATTGAGTATTTTGGTCTAAATAACCCAAAATGTGATGTCCACATATGTGGACGCAGGTCCTAGGAGGTTAAAAGAAATGATAAAAGAGAGGTGCATGATAATGTACTTTTAGTAATTGTAAACATTTTGCACGTTACGTGTGCAGTGAGTGAATGATAAAGCCTAACCCTTCTTGCTCTAATATCTGACCCTCTTCTACCTCGACAGCTGACAACACGACTTTGCAGTTGTGGTGTCCTCTTTTAGAAACAATCTGTGAGCACATTGTCATTCAAAAAGCAGCTAAACGCTCACATCACTACGCAGGATGGTGGAAATCCTGCTAGGCATTTCTGCCTCACCCACCTTTAATGATGCCCTTTAGCTCAGGTGCTCCTTGAAGGCCTTTGCCTCGGGGAGCCACAGTAAACATCTATGGGTGGCATCAGCTGAGGACCACCAGCCAAGGATGTTTATCCCCTGTTGTTTAGCCCCCAGACCTTGTGCGATCTCTGTAATCACAACCACATGCTGGCTTTATGCTTCTGCTGCCAGTTTTCTGGTGGCTGGCATCAGCGCTGCTCCCGTGCAGCGTAGACTGCAGAGGAGGAGGAGTGAAGTTGAGGAGCCAACAAAGCCCTGATACCTGACTTCCAGTGAGCATATTACAGCATTTCAGTCAGCCTCCCGAGACTCAGCTGCCAGGTCGAGTACTTGGATTGCTTCCTCTCATTGCCAACCTCAAACCCTCCTCCCACATCAACAAAGAGAATCGTAGCAGTTTCAGAGCTGGATCTCTGCCCCTTCATCGCTTTTCTTGCCAGCCTCACCATCATTTGCTTGATCTGTCTCCCTCTTTCCTTCCAGCCCTGGACGACCCTTCTTCTCCGCACATGTCGTCCATGAAGTTAAGCTTAGCTTCGACCTGGCCATGCACTGAATGCTTCAGAATGATGCTGAGGTCGTTCTCCAGATCTTGCAGTTGCAGTCACTTCCCTTTCTCTCGGCGACTTGACTGCCTGTGTCCACTCTGGTTCTTTCCTTTCTCTATTTTCTGCTCACTTTAGCGTTTGTTGGTGCACAACGTGTGTTTACGTGCTGCTGCCTTCAGAGGGACTACTTTGCACCGTTGGTTCGCCTGCCTCCACTTCCTGCCTTCTGTCTTGCGCTGTGGTTTGAAACCTTGGCTTTGAGTCCCACTTGTCTGGCCTGTTATTACTGTGCAGTGTTGCTCCTCGCCCTTTTCCTTGCACTTGCATCTTCCCTGTTGTATCTGCAGCCCTCTGCAGGTAGTCACCTCTGCCCACTCGTATCTGCACTACCTCATTACCTTGGAGAGCCATGGTCAGTCTGATAGGTCTACTTTTATGGGACTAACTTTGTTAAACTGTCATTTGGGCAGCATTTTATTTTATTTCCCTCTTAGATGGTTTTTATTTGATTTGAAGCTCCTTGTGATTTGCATTTTGAAAGGTGATATAAATAAAACTTACTCACCGTGTAAACCAAAGAGCCACTCGCTGAGGCACAAACTGTTATGGCAGTGTCTTGATGAGTGACGAAACGTCCTGTTTCCTGTTCCAGTGCTGCAGCTGATCAGAGTTAATTAACTCTGAGTATGTTCACCCGGAGTTAAGTGCACGTGTGAGTAGAGAAGGAAAGCAATCGTCAGTAGAACCCCAATACTGCCGTTCACCATGGTAACGATTAAATAAAGAGCAGAGCCTCCATTTTTATTCCATGTCAGCGGTGACCACGATATATCATTTTATTATAATTTACACACTCATCATTCAGCCTGCTTGGACTTTGATCACAGTAAGTAGAACATTTGATTTAAACTTGAATTATTCAGCTGCGACCTTAAAGGACCAGAAAGTGAAATTCAGCCACAGTTTAATGACGGTGAGATTAACCCAGACAAGACCTCATTTCCCAGTTCCAGTTGGGCCAAAGGTTTTTCCATCAGTGTGACTGCTTATTAAAGTTAATAGATCTGTGATGTAATTATAATAAGAGTTCGTGTTAAGTACAAAAAATAGCAAAGTAACGATTAACTGGGATTTCATTGATTGGAAAAACTTCTCTTGCTCTGCTACGTGATTTGATAGCAAATCTATGAATGAGAGAATGAATCTGAGTGTCAGCAGGTGGGGAGAAGTTGCTTGATGAAGAAAACCTGCCAGCCAGCATGTTTACTTCAGACTCTGTTGCCTTGGTAACTGACTTAGCCCTTATCACAGACTTAACAAATTCAGAGTTTTAGCTGAGCCTACTTCCTGGAATAGGGCCAGCTATACCGTTGCCTCGATGTTCTCCATTGTAGCCGTGTGCAATAGCAGCAAGACACAGAACACCTTGGAGCTTGGATGCTCAGACAGCATTTAATCGACCATTCCTGGAACAAACATGAATAGAAACGGGACAGGAAAAATTTGCCGCTTCCATCTGTTTGAGAAAGTGGGTACAGAAGTTGGATCACAGAAGGTCTCAGCACAATTAACCTGCTGTTTAAGGGAAGAGAGCTTAATTTACCCAGCTTCAGTCCAACTCTTCATACTGGAGACCTACTGGATGTCTGCACTGTGATGGTTACTGGAGCCTGTTGCTCCGTCTGCTCTCATCCACTAGCCACTGAACAATGCTTTATAGGTTGTGTCTTCTCCCCTTCTCCATCTCTAGCCTTGGTGGGGCTTTTCTCATATTGTTCCCCTGCCACTAAGAGTACAGTTTATTCTCTTGCCTTCTGTCTGATAAACCTTATCAAGTGGTGACCAAGGCTGTGAGTCTTTGCTTGGCAGATTCTTAGAGATCACCAACTTTCAGTGCTTCCCCAGAACTTCCCTCCCTGCTAACATACGGGGGCACTGCTCCTTGTGGTTGTTCGTTTTGTAGCCAAGCACCTCAGCGGTCACTGCTGCTGTGGTCTAGATCAGCTGATTCGTTTTGGAGATGGTTGCAGTAGGGATTGTCTGTAATGCTTTGTTCACATCTTTTAGTAGACAAGATAAAACGTAGATAAAACTTTATTAATGCCTCGGGTAGGTTCCTCTGGAAAATCCAGTTTCCAGTAGCAGAACATTGACAGACATTTGCATAGTAAAAAAATTAAAATTAAAAATAAAGAGGGGAAAACCCAGCGTGTCATAAATAACAGATATGAACTCTTTCTGAGATGGATACAAATATAGGAACATATCAGCCGTCTTCAAGCCTCTGGAAGTAGGACATCTGAGATTGAACAAAGTGTCTGATCTGAAGCTCTCTGAGAAGATTTGTGTGCAGGAGATTGAATGTTTCAGAGAGTTTCATGAAAGATACAAAGCACCTACTGCACCAATCCTGAAACACAGAATCGCTTAAGGATGGTTGAAAAACATAATGTGGTGAGACTGGACTCAAAGGAGAACAGTCAGTCTCACCGGTGTTTTTTCATCTGAGTGTGTGCCTCACCACCGGATTATCAAATGACTTAATGGAGGCCAAGGGAAGTGGAGATCCAAGTATTGCCAAGACAGATGTGTCTTTAACAGGAATCGGAAATTAAACCAAAACATGGTCCAGCATATATTAGATGCCCAATAGTAATACTGGAAGTCATGCTTAGACTTGTGGAGACCAGAGTTTTTCACTCAAGGGTGTTTGCCCCTCCATGTGTAAAAAAAAAAAAAATGAAAAAGGCGTGGAAGTGTTGCAGTGTTTACGGTGTATTCAGTTCACTTTGCATCCTGCAAACATACGGAGTAAAAATGTAGAAAATAGGATGTATAGATTCACATGACAAGAAGACCAGGTGATCCTCTACATACAGGGATACTTTATGCATGACTCCTCTCCTCCACTTCCCAGAGACATCTGCTCAGCCTCGTAGCGTGGCCAGTGGCTCTATATCCACATCAAAGAGTAACGGGCTTGAGGGGACACCCTTGCTGGGTTTGGAGGTTAAACAGCTGTGACTGCTGGGAGTTTGAAAGGATTGAGGGTTTAGGGCAATTTTATCCAAAAATAAATTTTGGGTCCAAACTTGAATTTTCCCAAGCTTGAGAATAGATACTCGCACTCCACACAATCAAACGCCTTCTTTGTATCCAGGGAGCAGATACAGTCTGGAGTCTCCGTGCGAGGAGAATATAATATATCAAACGGATGACAGATACTGGTTTTTAATAAAGCTGGTTTGATCTTCAGATGCGATTGATGGTAAAACGATTTCCAGCCTATGCACTAAAACTTTGGTCAGTGAGTAAGGAGACTGACCTGTAAGATGAGCATTCAAGTGGATCTTTACCTTTCTTTAGAACAACAGTCATACATGCTTCATAGAACGATGAAGGGACTTTGGCTGACTCCTTTAAATATGGCAATGCTACACACAGTTGAGGTGAAAGCAATACTGAGAATGCTTTAAAAAAATCAGGAAATCCATCTTGGCCCGGAGACTTTCCAGACTGATGAAATCTTAACTTCCGCCTGTTTTATAGGTTCCTTTTTATAGGTTACATTTCGGAGAGAGCGTGGGATATTCAAAGAATTAAAAAGTTCTCCATCAGAGTTTTCTCCTGTGGAAGCTCAGAGGTATAAAGTTGAGAATTGAGAGACCTGGATGTGTTGTTACTCTAACATGATCTGAGGTGATGGTACCATTGGTCGTTCTGTTTTTGGGAATATGCAGTTTTGCCTGGATACCCTTCAGCTGGTTGGATAGCATCCTGTCAGCTCTGTCTGTGCATATAGAACAAACTCTTACACTTTAGAAGCTGACATTAAACTGAGTGTTGAAAGGATGTCAAACATAGTCTGCAGCATTACCGTCTATTATATAATTGTGTTTTTTTTTAATCCTTGCATATAGCTGAAGTATTTCTTTGATTTGGTTAGCTAATTCAAGTCACTCCCTTTTTCCTCATGTTTGCTGAATAAGAAATGATTTGCCCCCTCAGAAAGTCTTTCAGTGTATCCTAAATCGTCAGGCTAAATATCTCATTTGTTGTATTCGTTTGGGGGAAAGCAGATTTGTTTTTCCATGAATTTTAGAAAATTCTTGTCTGCAAGAAGAGTTGAATTAAATCACTAATGTTTTCCGTATTTTGGGGCATCGGGAAGATTCATGATTGGCACGAGAGTTTAACGTATCAGAAATGACCTCATGTTTTTCAAAGCACACATCTGGATCCGTAACGACTGAAACACCTCTGGCTTTGGCCTGACGAGTGGAGTGAAAATGCTGCCCCTCCCCCAGTGAGATGGGTGCTATCCGACCTGCAAATGTGTGTTTCCTGTTTAAATAACACAAAACAATATAAAACAAACCACCGCTGCCCTGCACTGTTTGATGTGTGAGAACATCCTTTTAGCAGGGTGGTTTACACCTCAATATTCCACCTAACGAGTCTACAGCACTACCCAACCTCGACAGAGATTCGTGCACAGATAGAGCCATGCATGTACAATAGGGTAAGGTTCTCCTGCAAACACAAATGAAACCAACACAACCGAGGCCACTGTGCCTCCTAAAACATTACTATTAGAATCAGATCATTCCCACCCCTCCATACTCACTACTCTATAACCACCCCCACTACTTTTCCCCCAGCTGATGACGGCTGCCAAAAGGAAAAGCAGCGAGCTCACCAAAACACTTCCTACCTTATTCAAAAAGAGAAAACAAAAATTCTGTAGAATAGATTCATAATTAAACCTTTAAGCTTCTGGTTGGATATGGCTGTGCCTTCAACCACATCAGAACAGAACATCTTACCAGATACACCGAATGTTGAAAAGTGAGAAAGAAAAAAGTAAAATAAAATCGGCACCAATACGTGCATGTATGTATACAAGTATGCAGAGTGCTGACATGAGCAAATACTTGAAACCACTGCTGAACAGTCTTCCCGTAACCATAGCAGCCAGGTATCATCTAGCCTCCTGCATACTGCAGCAAAGGATAACGTGACTGAGGTAGTTAATAACATAACATGGATGCTCAGGATGATACAAATACAGTGGACAGGTTGTCCACATAATCCCTCGCGTCAGCGGCTGAGCAAAGCCATCCCTTCTCTCTGCTGGTAATGTTATTCCAACTTCCCTCCCCGCCGAGCCTCGCGGATCAGAAGGTCCTTTATCTGATAGCGATAAAGGCGAATGATTACAGGCCATGGCCTCTGAGCTGAGTTTGGCTTAGCAACAGGTGAGCGACGGGCTCTGCACCCACCTTCGATGGATTCCACCAGACCTGCATGTTCTGTCGGCTTTCCAGGTCATTAACGCTGGCCACCAGTTTAGCATTGCTTTCACTAAAACTGGAACAGACATCCTCGTAATTCTCTAACCAGCTAACGTCTATACAAGTATAGAAGTGTGACGCTTATGTTCTGAATAAAAGGGAATAACTGTCTCCTCGTCCTATCACATCCCTGCCAAACTCACTCCATATGAACCTTTTTAAAAACTAAACTCTTGGTTTGTGCTCTGTGAACGCTTATTTTAACTTTAAGTTTTGAGTAAAAAGAGTAACTGTTTCCATTCATACTTTAAAATGTTGTATTATTTTCTAGCTTTCCTGTTTTTGTTCACTCACATATATCATTCTGTCCGCTGTCTACTTAGAGAACTTTGCTGCGTCAGACTACCACAGGCTGGCTTTGCAGGAGTTGGAGGCATGTCCAGTTGCCATGGAAAGCCTGGGGGCACCACCTTTAAAGGTCCACAACATCCATCTGACTGACAGATACAACCGTGTAGATAAGCACACTGCACAGGTACTGTCCTTTAGGAGGGCAAGTGTGCCAATAACACAGACAACCGATGCTGTCATCCCTGACTTCTTTCTTTTCTAGTTTTGCATGTGCAGCTAAACTGGTTTTCCTTCTGCGTATAATTAAAGTATTTGCTTACAAGTAGCTTTTTAAAAATCTCTAGATGTGTAGAAACCACATAGTGAGCAAATGTAAATCACAAACTCAATCCTATTGCAAAGAACTCTGAATGTATTGAGTACTGAGTGTAAATTGTTTTGCAGATAAAGATTCCTGTGACAGGGATTAAAACCGGAGGCTATCTGTGTGCGTCTTCACTGAGGGATCCCAACACAAACAGGTGAGACAGTTGTGCCACAACTGAACTGCTGAATTTGTATTCAGCTTATTTTGACATAGTGATGTGACTGACGGGCGCCAGTTTAGCTCAGTAGGTGAGCAGAGTTAGGCTGACATCAACATGACTGACATGCAGACGCTGCCATTCGTGATCAGCATATTACATTTTAGTGTGTGTGTGTGTGTGTGTGTGTGTGTGTGTGTGTGTTATATCATGCATATAGTGCCGTTGATATTTGAGTTGTATTTACATTTTCGATTAATGAATAACTAATGGAGAAAAGCAAAAATCCTTATTTTTGAAAATATCAGAGAATAATGTAACACTTCACATGCTTTATTGTAGAGTGTTGTGTTGAGCTGACACATTGACAGTAGTCATTTTTTAGTCATTTTAGGACACTTTATATTGTAAATAGGGATGGGTACCGGTGTCCGGTGCCATGATGGCACCGGTTCTGACATAAACGGTAGTAACCAGACCGAAAAGCAGCGCACATTTCGGTGCTTTATTTCGGTGCTTTTTTTCCTGAGCTGTGATACACTTCTAGCCAATCATTTGACGTTTCCGAGGATAGTAGGCGGGGCCAGGTACGTACGTTCTGTTAGAGCAGAGCTACAGATTAAAAATGTCCAAGGCGAAGCGGTCAAAAGTCTGGCTGTACTTCACAGCAAAAGATGCAAACTCAGCAGCAACAAGTGCTTTAAGCTGATACTGTGATACTGTCAAAGGAGGTAACACCTCGAATCCGATGAAACACCTGGCGACGCATAGCGTTTTTTTTAAAGCCCAGAAATGCACCGTATTTGATAGCTTGCTGCGAGACCTCACACCGAGCACATCTACTGCGGGTGGGTTGCCTGTTATGCAACATCCCCCAAAAACATGAAGAGGAGAGTCCTGGCCCCTAGCCCTGCCAGTGTAGCAGAAATGATGACAGATGATGGTGGCAGCAGCCGTTCTTCTCTGCGTGAGTAGCTAATTTACGTTGAGTAGGCTAACCACGTTATTACATTAATGCATGTAAGGTGAACTAGCAAACATCATCATAGCTACATGCAGCTGTCCTCTTGTTTGATGGCAGATACTCCCTTCACCCTGGACAAAAAGGCTAAAATGACCAAAGAAAAAGTGGAAAACAGCTGAACATGAGAGGTTTAGGACAAAGTTTGTGTTTTTTCCATTGTTTAAGCACTGCTTCCAGCCAAGAGTGATACCATATATGCCCCATAGCTGCAGAAAAGGCTAACATTGTTATATTTTTACAAAAAACAGCTGAACATGAGAGGTTTTTGGACCAATTTTGTGTTCTCCATTCTTTAAGCACCGGTTTGAGCACCATTTAAGCACCGGCACCGTTTCAAAAGTACCGATTTGGCACCGGTATCGGATAAAACCTAAACGATACCCATCCCTAATTGTAAAGACCGTGTGTGTTTCAGCGCTGTGCGTCCTGATGTCCTGATAGAAATCTTATGTAATGTGTTTTTGGTACATTCAGTGAATAGTTTATATTCACTTTGTAACTGACTAACAACCCTTTACCATGTTAGTAGTCTCAGGCGTGGGTTCAACTTTAACACTAAAAACCACACAAACACACATCCACACAAATAACAACAAAGCTGAAACAACATCTACGGGTTTCTAGGCCTTGAATCGTATTTGCAGCCGAACACTCTTCAGCACACTGTATGATGACTGCTGTGAAACTGTCCATAATTGTTTTAACCGCCGTCAAAAGCAAATGAAGCAGGATGTGAACGCTAACCATAGGGACTGATGTGAAAGCTTGATGGTCGCTATTCCTCACACGCGTCCGTTACTCCTTGCAGGTGGAATCTGAAGCAAGCAGTTCTAAAGCTCAGGGAAGGAAATGCCATTGACCTGCTGAATCCTCCATCAACTACAGCACAAAGCCACGCAGCAGGACACGCAGACAGGGTAGACGTGGGCAGCTGGCACTGACCAGCTTTATGAACAAACAACTATGCCTGCTAGAAGAAGCAGGCGCTGAAGATGTTTTGAGCTATATTTACTCCACATTCATTGTATGCTCTTCTTTTAAGGGAACCATCAAGAAGAAAAGCTCTGTCAGTGCTGCAGACTGTCAGAGCTGAGTGGACTTGTGCACTCACTGCTGCCTCTGTCACAAATCATGAGAAATGTACAAATATGCACCAATCAATAAATGTTACAAATGTATTCGTTTCTAACATAATTGACTTTCACACAGACTTGCAGATGTGTGTGTCTGTATGTGTTCAGGGGAAACGGTATGATATTCATAAAACAGGACGTAAAGCTGTGGTTTCACTTTTACCGTAACCTTCTGCTTCCTGTGCAGATGTAGAGCGAACGCACAACCACCGATATAAAGAAGGCATGTTTGCCATGCTCGGCTTTCTGTGGTTTCTCTTCAGCTTTTTATCCTGTTATTTTTGCTCTCAGTCTCAGTCAACATTTCCAAAATAACAAATTTCCAAAATAGCAACACTTGAAGCTATGTGTGCGTGTGGATGCATTATCATTTGGTCATAACACTTTTCCTACTGTCACAAAGATTTTCAGACAATGTTTTATGGAGACGGTTGGACTTGTGCACTCAGATCATTACATTTTAGGACAGTGACGCAGTTTTTGTAATTTTGTCTCTGCACAGCACCGCAGTGGATTTTACTTCAACCAGCATGTGATTCAAGTACAGACAAAAGAACCGATTCGTTTCAAGTAAAGAAACTGTTGTTTAATACTTGGATGCAGTCTCGAGTCCATGAACATCACCAAATACGCTTTTCTGTTCTTCCTGTGTTGCTTCGTGCAGGTGCAGCAGTTCCTCCTTTTTTCCTGCCTGTCAGCTTAGACATTGTCGTACTGCACTTAAACTATAACAGCTGAAATAAGACTAATAGAAATGAACACATAAAGAGATAAAAGAAACCTGGGAACAAGAGGAGCCTGTAGAGCATTTATCGAGCTCTGGCTGCAAAAGCTTACTGACAAGACAGTTTGAAAACAATATATTAAAAAGAACAAAGTTCATAACTTCATATTAAAATTTCAGGTCTGGAAAACACATTTGGGTTCAGTTTAATGACAAGTTGGTCTGTTTCTATATTTAAAATTAAATGACACGATGATCTGACATCCTGGCTTCCTCTTGCTGTTCAGTGTGTTGTACCTCATCTCTGTTCGGAGTTGAACGACGAGTTGTTTCGACTTTAGTGTAGATGCTTCAAAGATTCCATACATCCCACATCCTCTTCATGTAACCCCTTCAGCTTATTACACACATCTCATTATATATTAGCATTCTATAGCAGATGTATATGACAACATGAAAACTCTACTTTTATGTCCAGCTTGCACTGGGACAGTTTGTGTGAGGCGGCAGGAATGAGAATCAGCACTTCCAAGTCTGAGGCCGGAAACGGGTGGAGTGGCTGCCCCAGGTGGAGGAGCTTAAGTATCTTGGGGTCTTCTTCACAAGTGAGGGGAGCAGGAGATGTATAGATGGATGGGTGATGCAGCCACTGTGCCGGTCCATCACGGTGAAAAGCAAGCCAAGCATAAAAGCAACCTGTGGTCGTGAGCTGTGGGCAGTGACCAAAAGAATGAGATCACAGATACGAGTGGAGGAAATGAGCTTTCTCTGAATGGTGACTGTCCTCTCAGAGATGGGGTGAGGAGTTCATCTGTGAAGGGCTCTTTGGTAGACTCTGTACTCTGTACTCATGATGCATGCTCAATTATCCAGGTAGCTTTTAAACCAAAACACGCTGCGTCAAAAACGGGTCCACCCCAAGGATCGGGTCCCCGACACAGAGTATCATAGTGTACGCTGGTAAGTGCAGGAGGACGGCCAGGATTTATACATCGGGGAACCAAACAACCTCTGGCTACAACACAGCAGAGCCACCTCGTCAGGCCAGGACTCTGCAGTCTGTTCACACCTGCAGGCCAGTGGACACTCTTTCAATGATGAGGATGTAACATCCTGGACAGGGAGGAACGCTGGTTTGAATGGAGGAGGGGCCTAAGGGTCCATCTGTCACCATCTTACAATGCTGTGATTGCAGCCATTCCCCAACTCTCTGTGAATGGGACTCATGGTTATTGATCAGTGGGCTTTGATTATTATTATTATTATTATTATTATTATGTTTATCAATTATTGAATTAATTAAAGGAACTGACCTCCCAGCCCATTGTTCATTCAGTCAGCTGGTTTCACTCATTGTGCAAATGTCCTGTTTATACGGTTGGAAACCTGCAGTCAGCTCAGACTGAAAAAGTCACCTGGATGATGAGTAAACACTGAAAACGTCCAGATGAGCAGAATCAACCGTTGGGACTGTGTATGTGTACTAAACATTACCCAGTAGTTCAATTGTTTCACGTATAGAATTGAAACATTTGAAATTAAAGAAACGTGTCTCAGCAGTCAGTGCCGTCAGAATCATTTTATAAATATAAGCAATATCTTTTTCAACATCAGTTGTACCGTAACAACACTTTGATTCGTCTGTTTTTCTGCACACAGTCTAATGGGTGGTGTCCCTGCAGGGACAGATATCAGGTATGAAAAGAAATGATTGTTCAAGGAAATCAGCAGCTGTTTCACACCCCTTCTTTTTTTTATAGTTCCAGGAAAGAGGCACATATGTTCTTGTTAAGTGTGCGTGTGTGTGTGTGTGTGTGTGTGTGTGTGTGTGTGTGTG